AGCATTCTTAACCTCATGGTCTTGGTGCTGATGGTTGGTTTTTCCGTCTGCTCACTAGCAGTGTTGGGCATGTTACTTTGAAAAGGTAATTAGTTATAGTTACTAGTTACTTCTCCCAAAAAGAGTTAGTAACTGAGTTACTCCACAATAAAAGTAACTAGTTACTAGTAAAAGTAACTATTGCGTTGCTTTTGCGAGTGTATGAAATTAATAACTGGGGATGTCTAATTCTGAAATCCTGTGTTTGGGTTGTTATAGATACTGCAACATGTATATCCATCCATCCATCCATCCATCCATCCCCATCCATCCATCCATCCATCCATCCATCCATCCATCCATCCATCCATCCATCCATCCATCCATCCATCCATCCATATTTCTCTCTTTCTCCATATAGGCTAATGACCGCTCTCCGTAGTTCCCCTGTGGCGCGAGAACAGGGCGACTGTTGCGCGCCTTTAGCTAGCATGCGCGTTTCCTGTCACTTGCGCGGTGAATCGTGCCGCCGCGCTGTGCGAAGATGCAGGGGAAACCTTATCTGATGGGCAAACGCAGCTCGACGTAACACCAGTATTTCCATCTGGAAAGCGCTGTTTTGCCGCTGGAGTCCTCCTCACTCTCCATCCTCCCCTTTCGCATGACGCGCGCACGAGTCCCATCATTAAAAAAGGTGTGACCTGAGTAACGTGCAGTAACGGGGTGTCGGCAATTGTAACTGCGTTATAGTCACAGTAAGAGTAATCATTTTGATTACTCGTTACTAAAAAAGGTAGCGGCGTTAGTAACGCCGTTACCCCCATCACTGCTCACTTGTCTAATTAGTCCTGCGGCTGATTATTGCCAATTTGTTTCACCAGGTTCCCGCAGCTATTTATGCTGCTTACTTTACTTCCATCAGCGCCAGATTATTTGAGCTAGACTAACTCTAGCCATCAAGTTAGTCTCATCTGTTATTCTGACCCTGACCTGTTTTCTGTTTTGGATATTCAAGTTTTTGCCTTGCCTTTGCCTTCTCTGTCTGTTTTGTTTTTTTACAGTTTTTTCTTGGATTTTGCTGGAAACCGATCCTGGACTGTTTCAGCTTGGATTCCCCACATGGACGCTGCTACTCCCTCAGGGTCGGCTGGCGTCTAGCCTGATAAACCAGACTAATGTGAGATTAGATGTTTAATTTAGTCTGGCCATGATAAATGAGACATGGGAAGATTGTTGATGAGAAAAACCCGTTGGTTTTCAAACCATATCCGTGCCTATTGGCCAACGCTCTGACCATTGAGAGTAACCGACTGTGACGTAGTAAGCGCGACAGAAAGCTGGTGGGGGAGTTCAAACAAACAGCATGTGATGAGAACAGTGGGTAACTTGTTGAGATTATTGAGTTGGACTATTGATGTCGTTTGTGCTAAACGGACATGTGAGAAGCCGGTGTACTACACCACTGTACACAACTTTTCCGAAGTTCAAATCAACCGTCGTCAGTGGCAAAAAGATTACAGAAAGTTGGAGTGAATGTTTCGATTACACCGGGGAAATCCAATCAAGTTTGTCGAGCTTGTATAGCGGTACTGAATAGACTGGAAAGAGATCTACCAATTTAATGGAGGTGGATTGAAAACGAGGTTGAAGCAGGTGCCCCCGCAGAAGGAACAGCTACTGAAAAGAGCTTGGGAGCCTACTCCCTCGAAAACACCGCGAGACTTGAAGAAGCTCCGCCACAACACAGACAAGCCAAGGATATCTGTCGCTCTTCCGCGGAATATAGCCAAGGTAAGTTTACATTATCATTACGACCTGTGACGGCAAATCTATCTGCTTAATTTTGTAACACAGTCATCGCGCAGCTTTGTTGTCACGCCCTAAAAACCCTGCCCGCTTTGCATCCAAAAATTCAAAACACATCTCTGCTTTGAGATTAGCCAGCCAGTTCTACGGCCTGGGGAATTGTTCGAGGCTAGACCCACTCGCACAAAATGATTTTGTTCTGGGTTCTGGAAGCAGCCACAGCTACAAACGATTAGCCTCGTGAGACCATCCTGATCTCGCGAGCTTTCAAGATTTCACTCGCTAATCAGTCTGGAGACTCTCCGTTGAAGAAAATTTGGAGCCGTTCACCAAACGAACGTCCAATCAGCGTTGGCTTTGAGGCGGGTTGAGGTGTGACGCAACGAGAAG